TGCATAACTTTACACACATGTACATTTATGTTCACACACACCCCACAGACAGAATCGGAGCAAAGCGAAGGTACTTTATCACCCACTGAGATCAAGTGAATGCTGTGGGGCCTTTTTTTTGGCAAGAGATGTCTAAATGCCCTTCAACTGGACAGGCCAAAGGCCTGCTCTCCCTACCTCTACCCAAATTCAAACTTCAGATGTAGTCATGACGCTGTGGCCCTCCATCCGAGAAGAAAGAACTGTATGAAAGAAGAGAGAGAGAACCTGCCCCCGGTGCCTTCACGGTGTGCTCCAGGCCCTCGTCCGGTGCAAGGGGAGGAGGTCATGGTGGGAAGGAAGGGAGATAGCTTTGGAGGAAGCAGACGCTTTTTTAACTCTTCTGTCCTTGACTCCCTAAGCATCACGCTCCCTCAGCCAACCTCTCACCTCTCTTCTGCATTGCTCTTTCTCCTCTGGTCTCCCTTTTGGTGCCTGTGTTTCCTGGTGTTCTGCCATCGGGCCACTTTACGTCCCACCTGGGTTTTACGCCAGTACCCAGGCTTCAGCCGCTATCTACACATTCATGACTTTCAAGACGACGTTCACGTGGATAGTCCGTAGATAACTCACACTTAGCATATCCTACACACGATTCATTAGCCTCTTTCTCACAAACCTGGTCAGCTTCCTCCTATATTTATTATGAGAGCAGCAAAAGACAATCCGTTCAGACTCCCAAGTTCAAAGACCGGCAGTAAGCTGAGATCCCTCGCTGTTCCTTATTTCTCAATTCCTGTTCCTCCTCCATCATAATTGTTTTATGATTTAAAGTGCAGTGCCCTGATTTCATCTTTTCACGTTTTTGCTGAATAACTGCTTCGATGCAAAGGCTCTTGGCTCTGGAGTTGGACGGGTCTAGATTTGAGTCCTGACTTGACACCCTTGACTGCTTACTGGCTGTGTGACCCTTAGCAGGTTGCTTAACCTCTCTAAGCCTCAGGTCCGGACATGGTAGGAGCAAGCTCATGGGGCTATTTTGAAGATTCAAGAAATGATACATTCTACCTAGTAACTGGTGTGTGGTAATAACTCGATAAATGTTCTCTCATTATTGATTTTGTTACCGCTTCTTAAGACTGCTGTAAAGATGAGATCAAGTCTATAAAGACCCACTTATCAGTCTTCACGTAGTGAGCTACTATCGCAGTCCTGCCCGGTCTGACTTTGTTCTCGCTCTGCAGCCTCACTTCCCACTTTTCCCCTTCCTCTGGCACGCGACATGGCTCTGTCCCCACTCTGAGTATGCCATAGCCTTTACTGTTCTAAGCCTTAGACTTGCTGGTCTGTCGGCTTCGTTGTCTTCCCTCCTCTTCAGCCATTCATCCATTCAGTTCATGCCGTCGGTGAAGCCGGCTTCCCCAGGTCCTTTGGGGATAGCTGATAACTTCTTTCGCTATCCCGTGTGGTACTCGTTTGTAGCTTTGCTCTTATACTTACTTACTGAGTTGTAGTTTACCTGCTTGTATATGTGCTTCCTCCATCGGGCAGCATGTTCCTGAGAAAAGGACTTACGTTCAGATCAGCATCACAGCCCAGTGCCTCGAGTGGGGAGATGCTTGGCACTCAGTGGACATTCAGTTAGTGGTGAATAAGGAGCTCTGGAGGAAATTCCAGAGAATGGCTAGAAGTGTTTTCATGTGGGAAGACATAGCCTCCCAAGTCATCTCTTTTAATTGATTGATTGATTGAATGATTTTAGAAAGAAGAGAAGGGAGAGAAACATGGATGTGAGAGAGAAACATCCATTGGCTGCCTGCCATAGGCACCCTGACTGGGGAATGACCTCCAACCTAGGCATGCGCCCTGATCAGGAATCAAACTGGTGACCTTTTGGTGTGTGGGACGATGCCCAACAAACTGAACCATACTGGTCCAGGCCTAAGTCATCTCTTTTTAAAAGGCAACATGAATGTGAGTGTTTAGTGTCTGATATGTTTATTAAAAAGTCTTTCAAGCTCCTCTGTAGGCACCTGGAAGAAAAAGCAATGAAACTGTGTTAACTGCTCCTTGAGATGAAATATCTGACACCCTAAAATCAGATCTGGGTCCCATCTGTGCAGAGAGCATGGCACAAGCTGGAGGCAGATGGCATTTCTGAGATGTCACTTGCAGTTGTCATAGTGAATGAGCAGAAAGGAAAGACAAGACAGGCAACTTTTGTGTCTCCTTTATTTATTTATTTGTTTGTTTGTTTGTTTGTTTATAGAGAGGGAAGGGAGGGAGAAAGAGAGAGAGAGAAACATCAATGTGCGGTTGCTGGGGGTCATGGCCTGCAACCCAGGCATGTACCCTGACTGGGAATTGAACCTGCGACACTTTGGTTCGCAGCCCGCACTCAGTCCACTGAACTACGCCAGCCAGGTGTATCTCCTTTCTAATCTCTGCTTGGGTGGCAGATGGGTCCCGAGTGAAAAGGAAATTTGCGTTACTGGCAACTCAGAAGGTGAAGGGTGGGATGTTTCCTTTTCCTTCCGGACCAGGTGGTGAGTTAGTGTCAGAGGGTGTGTGAGTGAGTCTGGGAGTCCAGAGCTCTAGGACTCTGAAGGGTGGCAGAGAGGGAAGAGGCCAGGAATGTTTGGGCTCTCTTTAAGCTGATCATAGACTGGTGGCAACATCATCTTTATGCTACCCAAGAGAGTCTGTGGATAGAATCGTTGCAACTCTTAGGGTGCCCATGTCCATGAGTGGAGTATTTCTTGGATTTCACATTCTCTGTGCTCTGGGGAGAGGTATTGATGTGGAGACCCAGGCGTGCTTTGGACAGCCATGGGTGGTCCTCCAGTGTCTCCCCACGAGTTTGCCTGTGTTCCTGTCTCTGCCTCCATTTATTCTCGCTTACCTAGAGCTGGCCTGGGCTTATTCAAGGCCAGGTAATGTGGGACATAGAATCTCTGTAATGCTGCTGGTGGGATAATTGAGTAAAGTTGTAGAATCTTCTATGGGCAAGGAGATCAGTAGAGCAGGGCTTATCTAAAGGTGGCCTTGGTTCTGAGTGCAAGACGAACGAGGCAACCCTACAGGTGCCTGGGGTGCAGGTCCCCTTTCCCACCTGGATCCTGAGAAGAGATGTACTAGAAGAGATGGACAGGAGCTGAGTTGAGGAAAGCCATTTTCTTTCTTAATTAAAAAATTTTTTTTTTCAAGTACAGTTTCTCATTCTTCTTGTTGAGAGTCTTTTCTTGGGATTTCCAGAAAAGAGAGCCCGAGGCAGAGGGCTCATGTTTATTGTGTATACAATAGGGAGTGACGTCTCAGTAAGCAAGAGAGGGACAAGAGCCAAGGTGAAGGACACCTCGTTGCATCGGGTCCACTAAGTGCCAGTGATGGCTTCGTTTGTGCCTCAGTGCCCTGGGAGGTCTTTGTAGGATTGCCCGTCAGGGAAAAGAAAGATAAGGAAAGATTGACTCCCATCTCCTGTCCCCAAGGGGCGTTAATTCCCTTGCACTTCCAGGCTGCATGTGCTTGGGTGCCAGTACCCCAGCAGGGAAGCCCCAGATGAGAGACAACACACACCCACATAGTCAAGGCCCATGTAGGGATGGAACCAGGAGCAGGTGAGGCTGAGAGATTCTGAAGACCCTGTGAGGGATGCCTGATTTGATGGTTAAGCCTGGATTTGAGCTGTGGAATATTCCTGTTTGCCGAAATGAGGATTCCCTCCTCCAGAAGTAATAGTAGGGGAGCTTCTACCTGTAGGACATTTTATTCTTTTTTGATGCCATTGTAAATAAAATTGCTTTCTTTCTTAAAATATTTTATTTTTATTTATTTTTAGGGAGAGGGGAAGAGAGGGAGAAAGAGGGAAAAAAACATTGAGGTGAAGAAAAACATCAATCAGTTGCCTCTTGCACACTCCCAAATGGTGACCCGGCCCACAACCCAGGCATGGGCCCTGACTGGGAATCGAACCGATGACCTTTCAGTTTGCAGGATAATGCTCAACACACTGAGCCACACCAGTCAGGGCAAGACTGTTTTCTTGATTTCATTTTTGGATTATTCCTTGCTAGTATACAGAAATACAATTGATTTCTATACATTGACCTTCTTCTATCCTGCAGCCTTGCTGAATTCCTTTCATAGTGATGGTTATTTTTGTGTGCGAATTCCTTAGGATTGATTCATAGACAAGATTAGGTCATCTACTAATAGAGACAGTTTTATTTATCTTCAGGGAAGATGATTTTCAAGAGGTTAAAAAGCTAGATCCTTGCTCTCTTCCCATCTGAACAACTTCCTAGGTGGTTAACTGGGCCCGCTGGAAACTGTGTTACCTCAGGGAACCGAGACCCTAATACGGTTTCCCACGTTGCCGAATTTGTTACATGAAACATGCAGAATATATAACAGAAGCCAAACAACTTGAAGAAATCAGTAGCTTCCTGCTAGATCAGGATTTAAGTAGCTTCAGTTCAAGGAGTCCCAAAAGTATCCAGGGACCTTGTGAAAATTCGTTCTATTTCCCCCAACCTGCCCTGAGGAAGGGTCCGGAGTGGTGATGCACGTCATTTCCCTCTGGGGAACAGCAGTGACCCCAAAATAAGAGCACTCTGGCAGCCGGAGGCATGAGGGGCCGGAGCAGGTCTTAGCTGTGTGCTGCAGGGGAGGGTCAGGGTGAGCCCTGGGCCCCCTTCCCTCCCACGGGAGTAGAACGCCAGTGGCATCCAGTGGCCTGTCAGACCAGCCACAGGTCGGACTTCTTAGCCATACTTGCTCAGGCGGGACCCTTTCCTTTCCCCTCAAGCCAGGCTCGTTCGTGACGAAGACAAACGGGGTGATTGGCCCGGGGTAGCTGGAATCGCCTGACTCGGTTTCTGAATCAGAGCATGAACGGGGAGCAGCAGAGATCTTAGCTGGGCGGATAAAGGGAGCCCTGCCCTCCAACGTGGTTGCCGTTAGGGTTTTTCCAAAGCCCATTGGTGCATTCTGTGACTGCGCTATCTCTTTTTCTGTTTTAGAAATAATTACAGAAATTAATGCTCTGTCGGTGTTTAATAATACCTGTGTGAGATGGCAAATAAACCCAGGAAGAATAAACTCCACGACTGTGTATGTGGTAAGTAACGTAATCTACTTTTTTCCTGCTAGGGCAGAAATGCTGGCTCAGGGGACTATGAGGTGAGGGACTTGCTTCCGGAAGGGCCTCTCAATCCAATTGCTTTCCAGATCCCATCACCCTTTAAAAAAAATGAGCAGATTTTTAAAGATATCTGGAATATTTTACTTTACATTTTGTGCTTCATATATTTGTCACTCGACAGGGTGTATGCGTGGAGATGGATTTACATTTGGTATCCAGACTTGTTTCCGAGCACTTGCCTGTCACTCCCCAGAGGGACTCCTCATTTTATGTCACTTTTTAGGGTTTATTGGTCACTATAGGCTGATCATACATCATCATCATCAAATACCTGGTGACAGAGGTTTCCCTTATTAATCTTCCCCAGGTGAGCAGTGCAGTGGAAAAGGGAATAGCAGGAAAGAGGACTCAGCACCACAAAGTCCCTCTTGGTTGCTTTAACCGTAGTCCCAGTGGATTCTCATATCTCTTCCCTTGGCTCAGGTGCACATAGTAGGACACCGGGTGGACCCTGTGGAATCCGTTCACGAGCAGACGGTCAACCTGACCACGGACAGCAGGAGCCCAGCAGTGTGCCTAGACTTGTACCAAGGCACCAACTACACCGTGAGCGTTTCCACTGCCCCTCCCAGACGCTCTGTGCCAGCCCACATTGGGTTCCAGACAGCAGGTAGGTGGAGCCAAAGTCTCTTTCCTTCCTAGAAAACGCTAAGCACAGGCTGTGGGGGAAATGTGCTTCGGCATTATCTGGGCAGGAGTGTTCATAGTTGCTTTCTGAAATCTGTAGCCAGGAGAATGCCTGGGGGAGGTTCCTATCCTCTTGATGCCAGGCTGAATATATTGGTTCTCCTCTGGGGCGTCTGGTTGAAGCTGAAGGTGATGAGAAGACATTTGAAAGAGAACAATGTTAGGTGAGAGTGCAGTTGTCTAAAGCCACAGGGGGTAGCCACATGGCGTGTCAGGCTTATCTGTCGTAGGAAACACAAAAGGCATCTCTTACTCTTGCCCATGAGAGGAGGAGCCAGGGACACTGACCGAGTGACTTTATATACAGAATGGGAACCGACCCCAGGACTGATCGGGGCTAGGACATCAGGTTGACAAGGGGCGAGTGGATAAGGGTAGGCAGTCCCAGGATGCAGGAAGGTGAATTTTGGGTGAAAAGAAGAATTGGCAGGAAGGAGCTTCGAGAAGCAGTAATAAACCTCCTTGCCCATAGTTATCATGTGGATTTTTATAGTAGCACTGTGACAATTATAATTGTTCTTTAAAAGTAGTTCTGGTTATAGAGTGTTAGGACTAACTAAATATTTTATAAGCAAACCTTAAGAAGCCATTGGGGTCATTTTTTATTTGAGGGGAGTTGAGATAGTTCTTACTTAAGGAAATGCACTTCAACCCTCAGTTATCGCTGCCTCTAGGAACCGGAAGTGACACAGATTTGGCAGAGATCATCGAAAAGACTGCCAATCTTAACGATATGAAGCCAACTGCGAAATTACATGAATTAGGTCCCTGCGTACTTGTAGATGAACAAAACAAAATGATTTCTTTCAAAGTAAATAATATGTAAGGAAAGATATTATAAAACTAGTCTAGTAACTACTTAGAGAAGCTTGTACAAAATTAATAATACATTGCTATGGATTTATTAGGATTATGTCTTTTTAAAAAGCTCGTCCCAGGTCTCCAAACTCCTCTTTCTCTGTTTGGTCAGAATGATAGTTTGCTGTTCAGGGTCAGCTGTTTTTACTGATATCTCATTACTTCAAGTTTATTTCCACGGGGAAAGCATAGCTTTCAGGGTCAGACAGACTTGGTTTTGCATCTTAACTCAGCCACGAAGAGTGGGTGACCATGGCTGAGATGTTTAGTGTCTCCAGGCCGCTTTCCTCTGTCTGAATTTTAAGAGAAATTGGATTAAGTTTGCAAATCAGTCTAGCGAGAATTGGGGATTTTGACCGAGCCACCCCAACGGGAGACAAGGCACACTTCCACCTTTTCTCGTTACCTCCTTGGGTTTGTCTTCCCTCTTTATGTATGCACCTTTGTAAAGATTTATCGTTTTTTTTTCTAGATCCTGCATACTTCACTATTGGTTCTAGTTTCAGGATTATGCTAGTTCTGTTAAAAAGGAATTGGGAACTTTTCCAAAATTTTTAATATAAACTCTCTTGGAGAATTTATATAATTTTTGAATTATTTCTTTCCTTTAAAGTCAGACACATTTGCTCTTAAGATCATTTAAATCTCACCCCTTTGTGGAGATAATTCTTTAATAATCTTGTCAGTTTATTCTATGATTATTTTTGGTCTGTTCATGTTTCTTTCATTTTCTTGAGTCAGTTTTTATCATTTATATTTTCCTTAAAAAGTGGCCATTTTGTTGAGATTTAAAATATATCGGCAGAATGTCATATGGAATATTTGTTTACAACTCCTCTGGAGTTACAAATTATATAACCCCAGGATATTCTTGTTCCCAATTTTGTTGTTTTCTCTCTTTCAAAAATTGATTAGCTTATCTTGGGCTGTCTGTTTTACTACTGTTCTTTTCCCCCAAAGAATAAACTCCTGGGGTTTTTTATTGTTTTTCTTTTTTGTACCTCATTAATGTATCCCTTATTTTTTTTTAAAGACTTTATTTATTTTAGACAGAGGGGGAGAAAGAGGGAGAGAAACATCAATGTGCGGTTGCCTTTTGCACACCCTGACTGGGAATCGAACCAACAACCTTTGTTTTGCAGGCTGGTGCTCAGTCCACTGAGCCACACCAGCCAGGGCTAATTTCTCCCTTATTTTTTATTATTTTGCTCTTCCTTTTTCTCTCAAGTTGGTTATATTGTTCTATCACTAAGTTCTTGAGTTGAATGCATAATTCACCTTATTTCCAATCTTTCCTGTTTGATAATAAAAGTCATTAATGCTTCTTTTTTCCTTCCGAATTTGAGCCTGGGCAGAATTCTTTAGGTATGAATGGGTACCTGTTCTCTTTGTTCTCACTTTGAAGGCCTGATGTAATTGCTATTCTGATTTTTCCTTTGATTGAAGAATTGTTTATGAGTGTGTTAATACATGTTCTCTTTATCCTTACTTTCAAAGCATTAACTAATTGCTATTTTGATTTTCCCATTGATGAAAGGATAAATTATGTGTTATACAGCTCACACTTTTTAGACATTTGCACTTTATTGTTATTTCTAGTTTATTTACATTTTGGAATTCTCTTAGTGGATTTATTGACATTTGGGGGGGCTTACTCTTGGCCAATTTTTCTAATTTTACGGTTGGTGCTGGAGAGTAGAGAGATTGCTTATAGGTAGAGTAAATCTAATCTTCAGTTAACTCTAGTAAGATTTTCTAGGACTTCTGAAGTTTTTTTTACATTTATTTTGTTGCTTTTTTTCATACTTGCATTGCCATTTTTCCCAATTTCTCTTAGAAATTCTAAGTGTTTTGTTCCACACCTTTCGATGTGATATTTATGTTCGTGACTGATACCTTAATTGTGGCTTCTAACTTTTGCTAGTCACAGATGACTCATTTTATCCTGTTTAATATTTTTTGCCCTGAGTTATACTTTGGTTTGTGATACTGGCTTCCTTGATTTCTTTGTGTTTCCATTTGCATGACACGCTGTCTCCCAGTTTGTTCTCCTTAAAAGCTCCGCGGATAACAGTGCAGGAGACGCACGCAGGGGGACTGTGTGTGTTGAGAAGCCTGTTTGAGAAAAGTGTTATTCTTTTGTGGGCCAGTTAAGCAATTTACATTAGTGTCTTTTGTGATCCAGTTTTCCTTTCTTCTGTCATCTTCTGTTCTTTTACTCTTTTTTTATGCTACTTTATTTTGTCCATTGTTTTCTTTTTGCTGCACAGAGCTGCTTTTTCAGTGCTTCAGACAGTATAGATTTTGTTTTTATTCTGCATTACATTTAAAAAAGAATAATCCTGCCTGAATATGTATTTCTCTGATTACCAGCATTAAGACAGAAACAATGGTAACTTCTCCTTCAGTAAGATGTGGGAATTAGTATTCTTTACCTCCTTTTATTTCTGCCCCTCTCGCTTCTCTGATGTTATTGTTTTAACAGGGCATTTTATGGCCAGCTTATTTCTAATTACCTTTTTAAAAGATTTTATTTATTTATTTTTAGAGAGGGAGGGGAGTCGGGGAGAGAGAGAGAGAAACATCAATGTGCAGTTGCTGGGGGTCATGGCCTGCAACCCAGGCATGTACCCTGACTGGGAATCGAACCTGCGACACTTTGGTTCGCAGCCCGCGCTCAATCCACTGAGCTATGCTAGCCAGGTATTTCTAATTACTTTTGACATGTATTATATCTCTAAAGAGTTCATTTGTATCCTGATTAATAACAACATTTTTAACAATTATTTAAACAGGCTTATGTTTTAATAGTCTCCATGTTTCCTGCATGCCGGAGTTTCATACCGAAGTTTCCCTGTTTTTCTGTACTTTCCCTCTCTGCCCCGTGATTTCTGTCTTCTGCTCACTGAGGAATGGGATACTTTCTGAGCCCATGATTTTCGGAGAATGTCTTTATTTTGTCTTCACAAGCGAATGAGAGCTTGCCTGAAGATAAAATTCTTGGGCCACAACCTTGGTTGTCAGAATTCTGGAGGCATTTCACATCAGCTGTGGGACTTTAAAGTTTTGAAAGAAGAGTTCGAAGAAGCTGTGATTTTAAAAATCCCGTGTAGATAATCTGATTTTTCAGCCTGGGTATCCGAGAGGCTTTCTGGATGTGTGAAAGTCAAGCCTTTAATCACTTACTCATACACATGAGACATGTTTATGGCCCGCCATCTCCACATTGATGTTGTTTTAGGTATTGGGAGTTCAATAGCGAAGCAGACACAAATCCCTTCTCTCATGAAACTTCAGTCGTGGCTGATGCAAATGTTAATTTTTTTTTTACTAAGTTATCTGAGTACTTTGTGAATTTTTTTGATCTTCAGAATTTGGTCTATCTATACATGAGGTGCATTTGCTTTCATGAAATCTCTGCTCATTGCTTTTTAAGAAGTGTTCTTCTGGCTCTTCAGATACTCCTATGTGGGGTTTCTTCTAGGCATTGGTCTTTCCTTTTCTCTCGTCTTACATTCATGTCTTTGTCCTCTGTCTTCTCTGAGGAGGCGGCACGTCTGTTCTCTGTACACATTGGTGAGGACATGCATCGGCACGTCTGACCTCCGTCATTTCTTTTTTTTTTTTTAATTCTTATATTTTTTTATGTCTTTTCTGGTTTTTTAAAGATTTTATTTATTTATTTTTAGAGAGGGAAGGGAGGGAGATAGAGAGAGAGATAGAGAGAGAGAGAGAAACATCAATGTGCTGTTGCTGGGGGTCATGGCCTGCAACCCAGGCATGTGCCCTGACTGGAAATCAAACCTGCGATGCTTTGGTTCGCAGCCCGCACTCAATCCACTGAGCTACGCCAGCCAGGTGACCTCTGTCATTTCTAATGCACTTTATGTTCCCCTGTTGCACTTCCGTTTTCTGCTGGTTCTTTATTTCATTCCGCTTCCTTTTTATTTCTGGCTCTCTCCACCAACTTCCTCTCTGCTATTGCTTTCTCTTATTATCTCATCCTTTATCTGTTTGAATCCATCTTACTTTTTATAACTGGAAGTATATGATACATGTGGCCTAATTTTGCTCAATATTTTCCCCCAAAGTGTATGTTCATTCTTCACCTCCTAAGCACAATCTCTCTCTCGTTCTTTGTAGAATCATTTTATGGGCTCCCCTCCCCCCCTCCTAGATTACTTATGCTTAGAAGATAAAGCTTTCATTTAGGTGTGATTTTTTTTCATCATAAAATGGATGCCATTACCTTTGCTCTTCTTATTGGATAATATTAGTACAGTTACCTCAGATCTCTTCTTGAAGGATTTAGTGTAACTTGGATGATCGAGTGTCTTTTGGGGAGCAGTGGTGGGAAAGCTTGTTGCCCTGAGCTTTATTTCTGAGCACCTGGCTCTCTTGATCGGTGACATTGTCACTACCAGGCTAGCTCGGCATTGCCTGGCTTCATTATGGTGTTATAGCCTATGAAGGCAGCCAAGAACCAAGTCTCTCCTTCTGCCAGCTCAGGCAGATGAAACCTCCAGGTCCTTTGGCCTCCCCTTAGAAGATCTCCAGTGGGCTAAAAAAGGACTATTATTATTTGTAGTAGTACATATACTTTTTACCCTGGCTACTTATCAGATTGCTTGGTGCATTGAAGAAAACACAGATGTCCAAGCTTTACTTGAGATCTGCTGTGTCTGGGTAATTCTGATGCGCAGGTGGGACTGGGAACCACTGGGGTAAACAGTTGCAGATGGGGCATTTGTCACTTTATCATCCTGTGTGGCCTGTCCTGGCTTCCAGACTCCACCTCTGTAGACACGAGTCCTCCTCCAGGTCCATCTTTTGAGACTTTGAGACCATGCTCCTCTGCTTGGAAGACACGCTGCCCAGGAGCTCTCAGTGTGTTCCTCCCTCCCCTGCTCCCCTCCACACTGTGCAGAGCTGAAACGTCTTCGTGTCTCTGCCTCGTGGATGGCAACCGACCCTCCTTTCGAACCCAGATGCAAATTTTGACCCATTTTTACTATTCTCAGCACTTGTGTCTGGACTGGGGGTGGAAGTGGGAACCAGACACCTTGCTGCACATTGCCATCAACCCCTGAATTCAGGTTAGCATGGCTGTAAGTGAGAAAATCACGTGGAGACGGGAAGTGTGCAGACAGTAGGTCTGCTTTCGAGTTCGGTTTGTATGCACAGACTGTGTGTGGTATTCCCGAATACAATGTGTCCACTCGATGTGCCTCAAAATCATTTGCATAATGTGGCAGTTTTTGTTTCAGATGTCCTTATGGAATCTTTAAAATAAAAGTTGTGAAGGTGAAGGAGAGCACATGGGATAGGCCTTCAGATTCTCTTTCATAACCGTATTTTTACATTTCCAGGTCTAGCCAAGGACATTTCTCCCCAGCTCATTGCCTTGTGTAGCATATGTCAGTAATAGTTACAATTCTGTGGACAGTTCTGACTTTGAACAGAATAATTTGTTGTTGTTCTTATTACTTCCTAGGTGGCAGAGACTCGGCGGGAGAAACAGACATAAAAGGTAGTTATAAAACGCTTCCCTCGGATAGACATGGAAACTTCTTCTCATTTGTAGAAAATGTATAGCTCGTTTGTTAGGGACTTTGCTTCTCCTCAAAAATCAGCCGTGGTACTTCCGGACTCTCTGTGAGTTCTTTACTCATTACTCACAAACCTCTCCTTTGTGATTACATTAATAAAAGAGAACATGGATAGAAGGAATTAGACTACACGAGGCATGAAATTACTTTTTTCTGCACAGTGGTTGAAACCAGTCTGTTTCTGATTATTTTATTGCCTCAGCACTCGCCCAAGCAGCGCTCTTGAAATGCCGTCTGCTGTGGGCACGAGCATCTTGTCCCATCAGCTGCTCGCTGGTCATCTTCTAGGTGGATGCACTCCCTCCGAGAGTTCTGTTCTGTGACCTTTGCCTGTAGCCACCTTTTCCCTGCTCTCCGAGTTTTCTGGCTATTTATATGCTTATATATAACGTGCCATTTTACTTAAGTGATGAGATTAACTTTCCAGAAATATCACAGCTTTATTAGTTTACAGTACTTTTAAAATACGCGTTATTTCGTTTGATACTCTCAACAGCCTGTCCTGTCTGAAGGGCAGACTGGATGACTCGGATTCACAGATTGGGAGATGGAGGTTCAGAAGGGTTATGTGATGTGGTTAAGGTCATGTAATTAAGAAGTTGTAGAGCCAGGACCTGAAGCCAGATGCAGTGGCCTTGCTGTTAAACACCCTATTGGCTCTCTCGAGATGTCAGAGTTCCCATTGTCCTTGGCTGTGATGTGTTTGCCAAGATGCCACCTTCCATGTGTCCTCTCTTGTCTTATAGAAGATCTCTCAGAAGACGACGGGATTTTCAATATCTCAATATTTAATGAAGCTTGTCTGAAATTGAACAGGCATTCTAGGAAAGTTGGATCAGACCAAATATACCAAGTAAGAAGATCTCTTCTGTTATTTATTAAAGAATTATGTCACTTAAAAATGTGGGTGCTCTCCAAGTGAGGATTCAAAGTATGTAAGAACACTTATGCAGTGAACTTCTAGACAGTTCGATTTTTGTTTCTGGAGATGAATAGGAGATGTGAGGTGGGTGCAGGCGAGGGGCTACACTGAAGGAAGACACTAGACTTAGTGACTTGCTGTCATTTTCCCTGTCTGGTATTTCACATGCATTATAATTTCATTAGTGCATTTAGTAACTGCAACTTATTTTGTCATCAAATTCACACTGGGATGTGGGTTTTTAAACAACTTGTTACATGGCTATTGGTCCTCATTTAACTTGACTGTTTATTTTTATGTGTTAAATTTAATCTGTATTGTATTTTTTCCATTACCATTTAGTCCTCTTATATTTCCCTCCCCTCAGCAATCACCACACTGTTGCCCAGGTCTATGAGTCCTTTTTCCTTTTGACTCAATCCCTCCCCACTACCCACTTCTTCCCCTACCCAGCTGTCAGCTTGCTGTCCATCTATGAGTCTGTCCCCATTTTCCTTGTTAGTTCAGTTTGTTCATTAGATTCCACATATGTGGGAAATCATATGGTGTTTGTTTGTTTCTGACTGACTTATTTCACTTAGCACAATGTTCTCCAAGTCCATCCATACTGTCACAAAGGGTAAAAAATTCTTTAACTTGACCTTTCAGACATCACAAATCTCAAGTAAAATGTGAGTGAGTTCAGGAAGGAACGGAGATTTGTTGTTTTTGTGTCCTGTTTTCAGTGCCTAGCAAATCATCTGTCAGAGTGTAGACTGATTAAGTGTTAAAAATTAAGTAATTAATTAATCATTCAACAAAAGTATATCATGTATTAGGACATAGAAGTTCTAATGCAAACTAATATCATTATACAATTAAATAGACAATTACAATGTGGTACAATGAGTGTTTTGATAAAAAGTTAACCAATGGAATAGGATATTGTGTGTATGTGTGCACGTCCAGGTACGGTTTTTTAAAAACAGGAAGTAAAGGTGGCATCCAATCACAGAGAATTTGTACTAATTAACCAGGTCAAGGAGGTGGGGTGAGGGTGAAGAAAGGCACAGTGGGCATGCAGAGTAGCAAGCGAATTGAGTAATAGTGTGACTGTCTCCGGGAACAGAGGAAGCAAGGGGAAGTGGGAAGAGATGAGGCAAAAGTACCAGCAGTGGCCATGTCCCGAAAAGCCCTCTGTCCTGTGCTTTTGAGTTTTCATTCTATTTTCATGCCTGTGCGGAGGCACTGAAGGACTGAAGGGCAGCTGGAAATTACAAATATCCACTTTCCCTGCTGTTATGTCAATGCATGTCTTACTTACTAGGTGACCGATAACTGGCTATTAATCTCAAGAGAAGACAGTAAATGATTTTATATTGAAGACCTCCAGAACTAGAACAAAAAAAGGTGTTGTTAATGGAAAAATGTATTCCAGCATTCTCCACTCATTTCTTAAAAATTCTCATGTATGTAATATGAATATTAAACTTGCCTTAAGTAAAAAAAAAATGATTGTTCATCCCTACACTAAAATGATTAAAAAGTTAAATTGAAAGTATTGCTTTTGCATCACAAGGAATAAAGCATGATAAAGAAAAAGAGAAGCCCTGGCTGACGTGGCTCAGTGGATTGAATGCCGGCCTGCAAACTGAAAGGTTGCTGGTTCGATTCCCAGTCAGGGCACATGCTGGGGTTGTGGGCCAGGTCCCCAGCATGTATGAGCTCCCTATGTTTCTTTCCCTCTCTTTCTCCCTCCCTTCCCTTCTCTAAAAATAAAGAAATAAAATCTTTAAAAAAGAGAAAACATTGCTTTTATTAACATATTAGACAAAGAAAAATTTAAGTAATATGTGAAACACTCTTAACAAAGCCAGAAAAAAATTGAACATAAAAAGGCAGTTTGCAAAAGAGAATATACATATTTCTAAAACATACATGAACTCATGATGTCTCACCAGTAAACAAAAATAATTAAACCATGAGATACCACGATTCTTCTCTGCACTTGGAGAGAGTTCTGTTACACACAGCTGTCGGGCGCTTGAATTGGCATGACTTTCCTGGCACAGCCCTTCGATATTTGTTAGTATCTATCTATGGCTTTTAGAAGTGTTGACTATGACTAGAATGAATTGTTCAGGCATGTACAGAGAAATTAAGCTGTTCTCTGAATCATTAGTAATAACTGGAAACAAATGCTCATCCATAGGAATTCCTGCAAATAAATACTCATCCCTCCATCCGATGGAACACTGCGCAGACATGAAATACGGCCCACTCCCCATCGGACACCGTGTGCTGCTCTTGCCCAGCATTCCTCTCTTCCTGCTGCTGGCTCCACTCCACTCGGTCTCCTTCATCAGATTCCCTTCCTCTGCCTGTCCCTTAAATCCGATAACCCTTGGGGCTGTGCCTTGCCCCTTCTCTTTGTATCCTGTACCCTCTTTGGGCACCTAACCCAAGCTCTTGCCTTCCTTAATGATCTCTGGGCTGAGACTCCTAGATCCATTTCCTCAGGCCTCGTGTGTTCCATAATCTTTGGACTGCCTGACAAGCTACTTGCACTTTTTTCACGTGCGTCTTCACATGTGTGACCCTCCTTCCTGCATTCCTCTCCCCTCCCTCCCTGAACCCACCTGGCCCACTCCCGCCCACGCTTCGAGGCTCGGCGCAGCCGTTCCCCGGGGGGAAGGCCTTCAGTGACCTGCTCCCCCAAACACTCTTCCCGCTCTCCACCCTGTTGTTCCTGCTCTGACCTTCCACATCCCCAGCCCTCCTGGCTAGTGCTGATTTCTCCCTCAGTCCCCAGTTAAGATGGGGAAGGCTTCCCGATCCCCGAAGAGGAGGGTCAGGTGTCCCTCCTGGGTGCTCCTACAACCTCCTGTATGATCACACTCGTCTCTAGGTGTTTTATTTGCCTGGATACTTATTCGTGAGTTTCTGTAGGTCAGGAACTTATTTGCCATCATAGACCCAAAACTGTATATTCTGGCTGCCAAGTAATAGGCACTGTATCTACAGAATGAATTGATGACAGAGAAAAAACTTAATGATATATCGCTAAATAAAAGGACTATATTATAAAATAGGACATAGAGCAGATTGAAAGCCTACAACTAGAAAGCATGTTGTTGTCGTTGTCTATAGACGGAACTATATGAAGTTTAGGATTAGAATGCAGCCTACAGAGGTGTGAGATTGTCTCTGGCAGGTGTCGGCAGTCTGAATGCAGATGTGAGGAAGTCCAACATCTGGACTGACCCAGAATTTTGGGTTTTCTCAAATGCGTGGAATTGAGAACAAAGGGGCAAAGGCTTTGAGGGTACTGGGGAAGAAAATGGTCGATGTGATGAAATATGACAGCTGAGATGGGTGGGGAAGACGAGGATGAGGGTGGGAGAACATTGGTAGAAAATCTTAAGTGAGGAAAACTCGGGGGTTTTCATGAGAGAGATCGTGTCTGGTGGGAGTGAGAATGGGGGATGCAAGATCTTGGTGGATCAACTCTGCTGACGACATAGTCTAGCTAGGGTGTGGCTGTGGGTCTGAGCCATTAAAGTGGAGTGGACGAACTTCATAGCATTGAGCTCAGGGGATTCTGAGGCCAGGTGCTGATGGCTTATGTTTAGGATACTTTAAATTACCCAAGAGAATGCTAGGAATTGGGGGAGAGTGGAGTCTCCCAGTGAGTCCTGTGTCAGGGTCCTGGATGATTGTGGGATGACGATCGTGGTGAGGAGGAAGGGGGCGGGACAGCCAGTGGCATGAGCATCAGAGGAAATGGGACACATGGACATTTAGCTAAAGCACACCAATCAATCAAGGGCTGGTCACATTACTTCTGGGACCAGCTCATATATTTGCCCTTATAAATCCTTATATTATACTGGCAACTTGAGTCGGCAATGGATCGAGTTAACAGTGTATGATGACTCCACAGACCAAAAGCTCTTTTACAGCAGAGCTCAGCTGGAAAACAGCAAGTGAAGTGAGTACCATTGCACAGCTACTTTGAATGCACAGTTTGCAGTGGTCCTCATAAAGTTTAAAAACTATTCCTTGAGGATTATCTAAGAAATCCTTAGGAATGAACAGAATTTAAAATAGTTTCGCCCAGTAGCCCCAGTGCAGTCAAGGGATTACCTTGGAATGGCCTGACAATCTGTTCATCTGAGATGAAGTTTTACATTTGAAGCTCAGTCCGTAGTTGTTTGAGGGGGAAGTTGCATAGAATAGGCAGGGCAGCTTTGTAAGGTCCTTCCCCCGTTTAGCTTGCTATTGTATTAAACATAACTCTACCGTAACGTACTCTACTCAAACATAAGTGGGTGAGGGCAAATAGAAGGAACCTTCTTGCTCTATCTTTATTTTGCTTATAATCCAGATACTTGCAAACCAACAGAAAATGTAATGCAACCATTTCTTTTAATCTCATGACAGTTTAAAATTGTGGGCCGAAGAGGGTATCTGAATGATTTTTATCACGCAGTATCATTTAACTTCACAATGGGGGAACGAGCGTCCGTTGTGTGTTTAGACCTGTACCCGGCAACTGATTACACAGTGAACATCACCCTCCTGGGATCTCCCGAGCCGCACTCAGTGCAGGTGATGATCACCACTGCACCTGCAGGTAGGTGCGCGTGCCTTTCTGTCCTGTAGCTCAGGACAAGTGAGATGTGTGCATTGTGCAGTGTGGGGGAGCATAGGGAATGCTGGGAGTCAAGAGACTTCAGTTCTAGTTCTAACAAACTGCCAACTTTGTCTGGGGTTCAGGGTGCCTGAAACTTGCTACCTGTCCCCTTCCCCACAGGGGTTCTGGCTCCTGTGATAATTCAGCCAATGTAAGTTACCAAGCAGTGTGGAGCCCACCACCTTGTGAACTGAAACCTAATTCGGGAAATCTCTTCTAATGAGGTTATTTGGATTCAGTCTGACACTTGGCTTCCCATGTATGGTGGGGTACCCTTGCCCACAAAGAAAGGAGGAAAATTCACTTTCCTTGGAAATTTTAGAACTTTGTGATGTTGGTTCCAGATGTTTCTTGGTGCCCATTCCAAGTCTTTACAACCTTTTCATTTTCCTTTCTCCTTTGAGCCTTTTGAGCCCTATTTCCTACCACCACCCCGTCCCCCACTGCAGAAGATCTTTATCCCTTTAGTGAAAGAGCCTCCTTTCTTTGTGGGCAGGGTACCCCCCAGTAGAGTAGTGAGAGTAGGAGTCTCTTCAAGTGACGTGGATTGTCTCGCATGCCCGCGTCACAGTCCCAATTTTCTGTCCTTTCCCCTGAGTTCCTCTATTTGCAGAAAGACCCCAGGAATTACTTTATGGAATGCCTTGCCTGTGAGTCCTGCTGGCTGGTTAGGAGGTTTCACATTGGTCTCCCCCAGGCAATTACCCTCAGTTGATCCTTGAGCCGTTGCTACGTTTCTGGAACTTCTGCTTTCACTGGTCTAATGAACCAGGAAGTGCCCAAGCCACACCTTTCCTTAGAACTGCGTTTCTAAGACTTGAAGCGCCTGAGCTTCTGTGCCGAGAACTGGAGCATTCCTTCCTGCCACTGCTTCCTTCTCTGCGTCAGAGAGAGAGGGCACCGGTGGTCCACTTCCCTCTGCTGTTCTGTGGGCTGAGCTTCCAGTGTATCAACTGCCGTCCAAGTTGTTTCTGTTCCTTCTCTATTCCCAGGCTAATGCCTTTTGCTAGACTGTAATACTTTCCTTCCCTACATTTGCTTTTTGTTTTTACACTTAGATTTTTGTTTTCCTAACGTATTACTTTAGATTCTGCCAGTGAGCTCTCCGCAGAAAGAGAGAGAAGGATACCAGAGAGTTCTGGATCTGCCAAGATCAACCAGTGTGCAAATAAATCCCGCCTAGTTTACTTTCATTAGGAGGTATCTGTTTCTGTTCCATTCAGCCTATAACCCAGGCCTGGGCCGATCATTGTCACCCCTCCCTGGATTCTCCTGTTGTAATACAGCTCTGTTCTTCTGCTCTTCCTCTTCAAGTTCCACCGCCCCACAGTTCCCAGGGGGGCTTCCTTCCAGCCTCAGCTCCACCTGCTCTTCCCTCTACAGGAACAATGTAATGGAGACCACTGTACCTGAACACCAATTAAAAAAAAAAAAAGAACAATGTCACCTTGAAACTAATTTAATGATGCTTGAAGAGGTCTACGCTGATTTTTCAAATATTTCTCTTTTTAAAAATGTCCACATTTTATATAACTACATAGTGTCGCAATGCCACTTGGAGGGGTTCTCCATTAATGCTTTACTTGGGGTTCCCGATTTAAAATTTTAACAGAACTCTTCTTGATAGAATAATGCCTGAGTCTGCGCACCTTTTGGGAGGAGAGTCATTTTAGTCTGTTGTTTAATGTAGTCCTTTTATTCTTCTCTTTGGTGATTCTGAGCCACTTCCCCAGACCCAGTAAATATTCCTGTCTTTTCTAGTCTCTTTAGCGCGGTCGTATTGGGGTATATCTCCCTCTTCCTTGTCATGGTTTCTGAGCAGGGCCAATATGAGTTCAAATTTCCTTCTCCTCCTGGATGTTATTTCCTGTTTTTCATTGTCTCCTAATCTTTTTCTATTTGCAAGACCAAAACCTGTTTCGTAAAATCATTTCATTCGTTTTTCAGAGACTGGGCAAATCTCCTTTCCAGGAACGGAGGGCTCTAGGCACACACCTTTTATGGCTTCTTCTTAGTGTTTGAGTTTGTGATAACTCCACTGGATTTTATCTATTTCAACCCAAGAAGAATCCCTGCTGTAGAATCCCCAGGCAGGGTCTCAGGTCCACAGACAGGGAGGCTCCGAGATGGCTATTTCCCAGGCTAAAATCGGAGAAGAGATTACTTGCTTCTTAGTCTTAACCATCCATTAATATGACATTAAGAAAAGCTAACTACAAGATGTTCTTTTTAAATTTTATTTCCTTGTAACTTTTTAATTTGATGTAATTTCAAATTTCTCTCCCTTGCTCTCTCATTCTTCTGCCCTCCCGCCTCTCTCTCTCTCCCAGAAATAAGTCCTGTGTGGCTACACTGTATTTTGTCAGGGTTTGGGTTCTGTTCCCTAACATTTTCTTTAGGGTATTTATGCTCCAATGTTCGTAAGTGATATTTGTTTATAGTTTTCTTTCTCTCTTTGTACTGCCTTTCTCAGGTTTAGGCATTCGTGTTTTCCTTGCTTCATAAAAAGAATTTGGAAGGTTTCCTTCATTATTTGGAAGATTTCTTTTATTATTACAACTCATGGAGCATTTGGACTATCTGGTCTCAGATGGTTTTGTAGAATTCTCCTCTGAAAGAGTCTGGACATGGAGAATTTCCTTGATAACTTTCTCAGTTTTTTTCTGTGGAAATTGGCCTGTTTGTTTTGTATGTCTAATGGGGTCAATTTGGGCAAACTACATTAGAAATTACCCATTTCATCTATGTTTCTGAGATTATGTGTGCATGTGATCTACATAGTAGTTCCATTTAACTTTTTGAATTTTCTTTTGTTTCAATGATAATTTCTCCCCTTGTTTGTATTTTTTCCTTTTTTCTAAATTAGGCTATTAGCGGTTTGTCTATTTTTCTGTATTTTTTAAAAATCAAGATTTTGTTTAATTAATTAGATATACTATTCTTTTTTCTCTTCTACACCGGGAATTAGCAAACTATGGCCTGCAGGCCAAATCTGCCCTATAGCCTGGTTTTATAATAAAGTTTTATTGAAGCACAGCCAAGTCATTCATTTACATATTGCCTGTGGCTGCTTTTGTGCTACAAAAGTATAGCTAAGCAGCTGTGACAGAGCGGGTTGGCCCAGAAAGCCTAAAATATTTACTGACTGACCCTCTGTAGAAAAAATTTGCTGACTCCTGCTCTGCATCAATAATTTCTGCTTTCCTATTTATTATATCCATTCATTTTTTTTCTGCTCTATAATGGTAGTTGTGTTTTATCTTTATTGTGAATGGTGGTTTTTGCATTAAAAAGTGTCCTTCTTTGTCCTAGTTATTGCTCTTTGCGTGAATTCTACCTGTACCGGAATTACAACTCCCAGGTCCTTATGGTGCCCTTTTCCTTGTTTTACTGAGCCCATCGCTCCATCTCCAGCCTTTCCGAATCACTGTGTTTCAGGTACCCCTCAGGCACCCAGTGTATAGTTGGATGTTGCATTGTGAGACAGTTTGAAAATCTTTTTTAGTTTTTAATAAAATATTTTTAAGAAGTGAAATTTGTTTACAGTTATTGTTAAGACTGATATGTCTGGACTCAACTTTGTCCTGTTATTTTATTATACTACATTAGTGTATTTTCTGTATTTCCCTGTGATGTGTTTTCTTTGGTGATTATTTATTTACTTCTTTCTTTATTTATTTATAGGAAGGCTTGTGTATATTTTTTCCAGGGGTTGCCTTTGTACCTTTTTGAAGTGCCCTGTCTCCTGTTTTCTTACATAGCTTTCCACCATCTGGTTTGTCAGTTTTTAGTGGTGTACCTTACCTTCCATTTATTGACTGTGTAACAGTCAGATTGGACTCTTGTCCCATCCTTTCTCCTCCCAGTTTGTAGTTGCCTTATTTTTACTTTATCAGAACACAGACCATTTATATTTTTTTTTCTTGTCCCACCTTTTTGTTTTAAGTCTACAATAGAATACATCAGATAGTCACCGTCAGTGTTTTCACTGAAGTTCCCCTAGTTGTCCCTTGGAGAAAGCTCACCTTCTACTAGACTCCTCAAGAGTACAGTGTTCCCTGAGCTCTTGCATGTTTCATGCTTCTCTGTGTCCTGGACACACGAGAGATAGCGTGGCTGGATATAAAAATCTTGGTTCACACTTTCTTAATTGGAGTTTCCTTAAAATTCAGTTCATATTATTACCTTGCTTTTTATTTAGCTTTTGAGAAGTCTGATGCAACCTTTTTTTTCCTCTCTCTGTTGGATCTTACTTATTTACTTGAATGAAGATGCTGAGGATTTTTTTTTATCTTTAATAGTTTTTCTTTAATAGTTTTACTTGAATCGATTGTTCTGGATGAGCTTTCTCAGTTATCTTGTGGGCTCTTTCAGCATTTATATTTCTAATTTTTGTAAAGCTATCTGGAATTATCATTTTAAATGTTAACTTTTTCAATGTTTTTCTTCTTTGGAGACCTTAATTATACACATGTTGGATCTTTGTCTGTGTCCCATTTCAAGCACTTCAAAATATTTTTTACTTCTGTGTACTCTCATTTTAAGTCTTTCTGTTTTTTTCTTCCTGTGTTTCTTCAATGCCCCTTATTAAAATTTCCTTCTAATCTGCCCTGGGCACTGTGGCATTTTGACTTTATTTCTGATATTAATTAGTCTTTTCCTTCTGTTTCTTTCCTGAATTCAGTCACTTTTGTTTCTTTTCTTCCCCACTTTTTGTCCATTTCTGTTCTTAGTTTTTGAATTTCTCACTCAAGGTGTTTTCTTCATATCCCCAATGCTTGTCTGGGGCTATTTCAGTTTAGTGAGTTATACATTTTTTCTAGTATGTGGGTATATTTTTTTTAACAATGTGGAGTTTTTCACAAGCTGAAATGCTTTGATTATATATATTTTTTCTTTCTAATGTCTATTAATTGCACAGACAGAATTGGTAATTTAGGAGGATCAATTAGATTTCTAGGTTAAGAGTGCCCTCTTCTGTCATTGAATGAAGTGAAGGTCCTTTAAAGAATATGTTTATTCCTTTTTTTGGTGAGGGTGGGATGCATTGTGTATTCTCCTATTTGGAGTTATTTTTTTTGCTTTGTGGGATCTTGCATTTCCCCCTTGCTTCTTCTCCCTGTAACCATGCAGGCTCCTGAGTGGTCCTTTTACTCCTCCTCTCTCTCAGAGGCAGTGCCTTTCTCATACTCCTACCTGGAGTCCCACAGGCTTTTCCCTCCTTGCCCGTCACCAGTCCTCTGCTATAGCAGGTCTCTTTTTCAGCAGTTTCACAGTTAAGGTAGAATTTCTATTCCTGAGAATAAAACTTCCAGCTCACTCTGGGGTCCTCTGTTTCTCTCTTCCCTTCCACATGTCTCTTCTAGAACTCCCCTCACTCTACAGAATGAGATGTGGTAGATGGAGAGAGGGCTTTGCTGGAATTTGGCATTGATTTTTTCTTTCTTAAAGAGTAATTTAAAGTTTGTAGTACTCTTCGTCTTCCAGTTCTGATGAGCACATTGGTTTCGTGTTGTTGTATTCCCCCTTCCTGGGCATCCACAGAATAAATGTGTAAACTGATCACCTTCCAAGAAGGTCACATCGCCATTGGAAGTATAATGCATTGCATTTGTAGATTAATTAGTGGAGAATTGATGTCTTTTCACTTGTGAGTCTTCCCATTCATGGATGTGGCATTCTCTCTTTATCGTTTTATTTTATGTCCTTTAGGAAAAAAATTGTTTTTAAATCTTAATGTAAGTCTTGGACATTTCTAGTTAGATTTATTTCTAGGTATTGGAAGTTTGTTCATGGTGTCCTCTTGGGAATGTGGGTCATTTAATTTTTCTATTGTCTTTTTTTTTTGGTGTGTTGCTTTTTGGTGGCTGGTATAACTTACTGCAAATTCAGTGGCTTAAAACAAGACGAATGTACTATCTTATAGTTCTGGAGGTCAGAGGTCTGAATCAGTCTCACTGGGTTAAATCAAGATGTCAGCAGGCGTATGTTCATTCTGGGGGCTTGAGGGGAGAATCCATTCTTTGCTCTTCAAAGCCTCTCTTTGGCTGGTGGTCCCATTCTCTTTCAACCTCATCAGTTTAACCTCTGCTTTTGTCCTTAAATCTCTAACCCTGATTGTCTTCCTCTTACAAGGAGGCTTGTACTACCTTGGGCTCAGCTGGCTGATCCGGATCATCTCCCTGTCTTAATCACAGTTACAAAGTCCTTGGTCCTGTGACGTAGCCTGGTCACAGATGCCAGGGGTGAGGATGCCAGGATGTGGACACCTGGGTGTGGGGGGGCGGGCATTATTCAGCTTACCATACTTGCCCTTGCAGCTACAGAGAAAACTGTTAGTTTTTATATGTTCTTGTGTTTGGGTGCAGCTTGCCAAACTCCTGTCATTTGTATTTGTTTTTCTACCTTCGAGCAATTTTACATTTGTTTTACAGTTGATTCTCTTAGACTTACTGGCAGTTGCATCATTTGGTCTCTTTCTTACTGGTATTTATAGTTCTCTTTTTTTTTTCTTGCCTCTTTCTGATTGTCTAAAATCCTCTGACTAATGCTAAGTAATAGCTATGAGACCATGCATCCTTGTATTGTTCTTTACTAGAAATTGTTTCATTGTTTTATGGAGTGTGCTTTAGAAGCATAGTAGTTTCTAATAAACACTCTTTTAAATTAAGGCGTTTCTATGAAATTAAATCCTAGTTTACTAAGATTTTTAGTCAGGAAAATGTATTAATGTATTAGTCATTGTAATGATAAAAATAACCATATGGTTTTTCTCTTTTACTCTATGAATAACTTTCCCAATAATGATCCTCTCTGTATTCCTGGCATAAATCTCCCTGATCATAATGTATTGTCATTTGAATGTACTGCTGACTTCTATTGCCTCACATTTTATTTTGAACTTTTTGTATTTATTTTAATAAGTGAGTTTAGCATAGTGTGTTCAGTGATTGGTTGTGCCATCCTTGTACAATCCAGGCATGTGATTATCTAGTCATATTAAATGGACTGGGAAACTTTTCACCTTCTTATACAAAAAGGTCTGGAGCTACTTAAATAGTATCGGAGTTACTTCCTTTCTGTCAAGTTTCATCAGTGTGGGGTTCCTGGTACCACTACTGCTTATTTCTAAAACCATCTGTACCCAAGAGTGAGGTTAGGTTATCCTGAATCATCTATACTTTCTTACTTTACCTTAACATTTAGAGGATATAGTGTGTAACCTGTGGAATAGGTTTTATTTAGGCAGAGGTGCCCAATCCATAAAGGACTCTCACATCAACTAATCTGGCTTCATTCGTAGGAACCTGTCAGGCCTGGCTTGGCTCCCATGAATCAACCAACCTACCTTCCTTCCTTCCTTCCTTCCTTCCTTCCTTTCTTTCTTTCTCTCTTTCCTTCCTTCCTTCCTTCCTTCCCTCTATTTTTTCTTTTCTTTTTTCTTTTCTTTTCTCCCTCCCTCCCCCTTCCGCTCCTTCCCTTTGTGCTTTGCAAGTTCTTTCTCACTTAATAATCATTACAGTGTTCCTATGGAACTTCTTAGCAAGTCTGTTCTATTATTTCCCATTTAGGGATAGAGGTAATCGTGGAAGGCAGTAAACCTCTGATATCAGGGTTTTGAAAGTAGGCTTTATTTTAAAAACCTTGTGTATATGTGTGTGGGGGTGGGGGTGCCTCTACATAACACCATACCGGATCTGAAACAACTTTTAGATTGGTTACCATGAAACAGAGCAGAGGCCAAGAAGTGTTCTGGTCATAAGAGACGAGGAAGCACAGACTGAGAGGTAACCCTTCCCGCTTTCCATCATGAAAAGCCTGACTGCTTGAGCAGGAACACTCAGCTCCGCATGGAGCGACTCTCAGCTTTTTTGCCAAAATATTTCCCTCGGCTCAGAATTTCAAACTGATGCTTATTCGTGTATGTGATGTTGTCCGAGGCAGGTACAGTGAGGTGCCAGCTTGACTTTAAGTAAACCAGAGGAATTCACTTAGTACACCAGAGGAGTTTGCAGTGAGTAAATAGACTTAAATAATTTTTAAGAGGGATCCTCCAGTTGGTCATCTTGTAACCCCAAATCTTTTATTAGGGCTGAGTTTACATGACCACAGAAGTGTGCTTCTACCACTGATTTGTAAGTTAAAATATTGCTGACATCATCCCATGTAAATGCTTATCCTTGGAAAATTTTTAATGAAAAGATAGTAGATTTGTATTGGATGTCAATTGATTTCTCATTCTTTTCTCCCTGCAGCGAAGCAGACCATCAGTGACATTTCAATATTTAATGAAACCTGCGTGAGATGGAGAAATAGGAAGATAGCTGGTATAGAGGAAATGTACTTAGTAAGTTGCTGACAGTTTCTCTGTTCATGGGGGTTGGCTCTGTGGGAGGTTTGAAAAATATCAACATACCTAAAAGTCAACTTGTGTAGCTGCCATTATCCATAGAAGAATCACAGTGGCAGTGACAACCAGAAGCAATCAAATGGGCACTTCTGCCGCATTTCTGACCACCGAGACCCTGGGGACTGATGGGAAAGCCTGGAGAGGGTTTTCCGTGCACACGGCCTGGTGCAGAACTGATGTCCAGGCCGGATCTGCGCAGGGATCCAAAGGCCTTGGCCTGTGTCTCTCCACACCAGTGTCCCCGACCAGGGTTTCAACATATTGTCTGGAGAGTGTAGGGGAACTTCTGGAGCTGGACGTGATTGTCAGTAAGAAAGGGAAATCCCATGGGGTGGGCTGTTACTGGAAGAAATTAAGTAGAAGGAAGTGTGTGTCTATTGGCCCAGGCACTGGGACGTTACAGGAAGGTGTGAGGAAGGTCTGAAGGGGACGGCCAGAGGGGGAACCCTGTCCCGGTTCACCAGACCAGCCTAGAGCATTCCAATCCCCGTCCTGCTTTGGAGAAGCCTTATTTCAGATTCTTAATTTTTTTCCCTAGGAAACTGACCTTGGGCCTTGCTCCTAAAAATTTGCCAATAGATTTTTCACATTGGGCCCGCATATTGCCAGAATTGGGTCCTTGATCTTTTGTGCATTTCGATATAAAAATGTATTTATCACACTGATAATATTACGAATATAATGTACAGGGTATTGTAACTCTAACCTTTAGTTACTGTTGTATTTCACTTTTTTTTTTTAACTAACTTGCTCAAGGTCATCCAGCTAATAATGGGTCGGGCACGGGTTAGAGTACGTGTCGGTCTGACCCCCAAAGCCCATGCTCTTTTTTTTTTTTTAAGATCTTATTTATTTGTTTTTAGAGAGAAGGAAAGAGAGGGAGAAAGAGAGGGAGAGAAACATCCATTGCTTGCTTCTCACACACCCTCAACCAGGGACCTGGCCCACAACCCGGGCATGTGCCCTGACCGGGAATGAAACCAGTGACCTTTCGGTTTGCAGGCCAGTGCGCAACCCACTGAGCCACATCAGTCAGGGCTGTATTTCACTTTTTGAAGGCACTTTAGAGTCAACAGCAAGCTAGTTCATGAGCAAGGTAAGGATCCAGGTGTTCCAAGTCTGTCAAGCTAATGATTCATCTCGTGAACTTTTCTGTGTTTTAGCTCCACATTCAGGGCCAGAGGTGGTATCAGAAGGAATTTGCCCATGAAGTCACCTTTAATGTCACTACGAGGAGCCAGGCTCCTGAGATGTGCTTGGACCTGCGTCCGGGTACCAACTACAGTGTCAGCATTCAGGCGTTGTCTTCGGCACGTCCCGCGGTCATCTCTCTGACAACCCAGATAACAGGTAAGTCTCGAGTAAAGGCACTCGGATGAACAAAGTCATCATGGAGCTGGAGAAAGAGGAACTCCATTCCTTTTTATCATTATATAATGAACTTTAAGAGAGAGAGGAAGAAGGACATGGCTTTGGAGAAGGATGGGAAGGGGCCTGCCACGGCGACTGTTTTATTCCTTACAAAGATATCTGAGACAAAATGTTATCATTGGTTAAATCTTGGGTAAAGTGCACTTGAATGTTGGTTCAAGTCCTTCTGGGTATTTGAAATATTTAAAATATTTCAGACTTTAAAAGAATTTTTCCTATTACTGTTTCTTTCTCAGCAACATATTTAATTGTGATTCTGTTGAAAGTGCCTTAAGAATAGTTTTCTCAGCCCTGGCTGGATGGAGCATCTTCCTGTACACCAGGGGTGTCACACTTATTTTCATCAGGGGCCACATCATCCTCATGGTTGCCTTCAAAGGGCTGAATGTAATTTTAGGGATGTGTAAATGTAACTGCTCAACAGCTAAGCAAGAGCTTGGCACTGCTGCCAGGTAGAAACAAGGTGTCAGGCTGGATAAAACAAGGTGGAGGGCCAGATTCAGCCCGTGGGCCTTGTGTTTGCCACCTGTACTGTTCACCAAAAGGTTGTAGGTTCTGTCCCCATTCAGGGCACATACCTGGGTTGCGGATTGACCCCCAGTTAGGGTGCATTTGGGAGGCAACTGTAATGATTTTTTCTCACATGGACGTCTCGCTCCTTCTCTCTCCATCTCTGTCTAAAATCAATGACCATATCCTCAGGTGAGGATTAAAAAAATAGTTTTATCTCAGGGAAAAATGATTGTCAGTCTCACTCTACTCCCTGGCAGATTCTCTTTCCACTCATTTTCTTGTCTCTCTCAAACTGTGCTACTCTTCCTCCCACGTACTCTGAGCTAACATGCAGAACATGAGCTTCTTTTTATTTCAGAGGAGCTTCTTTTTATTCCAGCCTGAGGAATTAGAAATAATCAGGTGAGGACTCACCACTCCCGAGTCTCCCTTGGCGTCCTGCGCGTGGAACCACACGTTTTGTCTTCTCTTGCCCTCCTCCCCAGGCTGGTGTGTTGGGTCCCGTCCCTTCTTGCTTAATCATCACCTCTTTCCAGTGTAGAATTCGTCTCAACGCTGCACAAGAATGTTGTAATATCTCCCCTTTGAATGAAAGCAAAGAAAAATAAACACACTTCCTTTGATCCCTTATTCTCTCCAGCTACTTTGTCTTCTCTCAGCCCCGCATTACAGAAAGAAACGTCCCTTGTGCCGGCGCCACGTCCTTACCCCCTGTTCCCCCTTGAAACGGCTCCAGTTTGGACACATTTGCCTTCACTGCTTTACTGAAGGGGTCTCCGTCTTGTAGAATCCACTGGCCAATTTCATTCTTACCTTTTTCTTTTCTACAGCATCTGACATTCCCCTCCTTCTTAGAATACTTTCTGTCTTGTCTTTGGGTTCCTCCTACCTTTCTGGCTGTTTCCTCTCAATTTTCTTTGCTAGCTCCATCCACTTGAAAACAATTATTACATTTATTGGGATGACATTGGTTAACAGGGTATATAGGTTTCAAGTGTACAATTCTGTAATATATCATCTGTACATTGTGTTGTGTGTTTGCCACCCAAAGTCAAAACTCCCTCTGTCACCATCTACTTGACCCCACTTACCCTTCACTGCCCCCCCCACCCCCCTTGCCCTCTGCTAACCACCATGCTGTTGTCTGTGTCTCAGAGTTCTTGTTTGTTTGTTTATCTGTCTTATTTGTTCACTGGTAGCTCTCAGTTTACTATTCCAAATATGAATGAAATCATAGTTCTTGACTTTTTCCATCTGACTTATTTTGCTAAGCATGATAATCTTATGATCCATCCATATTATTGTAAATGGCAGTGTTTCATCTTTTCTTATGACTTAGTAGTATTCTATTGTGCATATATACTATATCTTCTTTATCCAATCATCTACTAGGCACTGAGTAGCAGATTGGATAAAAAAACAAAACCCAACCATATGCTGCTTTCTAGAGACACATCTTAGCTGCAAAGACAAATATAGACTTAAAGTGAAAGGGCAGAAAATGATTCTCCAAGCAAATGGCATCCAGAGAAAAGTGAGTGCAGCTGCACTTATATCTGAAAATATAGATTTCAAGATTAAAAAGTAACAAGAGACAAAGATGGACATTTTATAATGATAAAGGTGACAAATCATCAAGAAGACATTAACACTCACCAATATTTACGCACTCAGTTAGGGAACACCAAAATATATAAAATAACTACTTAAAGAACTAAAAGGAGAAACTGGCAAAAACGCAGTTATAGTAGGTGATCTAACTCCCATTGACAGCTATGGATAGATCATCTAAACAGAAAGTCAATAAGGAAATACCAGCCTTCAATGATGCATTAAACCAAATGGACATAGTCGGCATTTATAGACCCTTTCGTCCGAGAACACCAGGTTACGCATTCTTCTCCAGTGCACATGGAACATTCTCAAGGATAGATCATATATGTTGGGACACAAAACTAGACTCACCAAATTCAAGAAGACTGAAATCACACCGAGCATATTCTCTGACCACAGTGCTTTGAACTTGGAAATCAAATGCAAAAAGAAAGCAGGAAAGAGCACAAATATGTGGAGAATAAACAATATGCCACTAAAGAATGACTGGGTCAAAGAAAAAATAAAAGGAGAATACAAAAGATACATAGAGACAAATGAGAATGACAATTTGATAAAAGAAAGCTTTTGGGATGCAGCAAAAGCAGTAATAAGAGAGAAGTTCATGTCACCACAGGTCTATCTCAAGAAGCAAGAAAAACCCCAACTAAACAACCTACCATTACATTTTTAAAAATTAAGGAAAGACCAGTGTAGCCCAAAGTCAGCAGAAGGAAGAAAATAGCTCCATCTACGTTTATTGGTGCACCTCCCCTGACCCCCAACCCCCGGCTGTACAAACCCCCAGCCTCCTCTCTTCCTTTTTCTTTATTATCAACTCTTTCTGCTCAGGGGATTTCTACTAGTCTCATGGCTATAAATATTAGCATCCACTGAGTATTCTCAAATATGTATCTCAGTCCCTATCTCTCCTCTGAGTTCCAGACTTGTATTTCCACTCCTCTCCTAAACATATTCTATGGAGCATCTAGTAGACAAATCCGACAGAGCTTTTGATTTCTCACTTCTTTCCTCTCCCATCCAATGACCCGTCTTGGTCATTGGCATTCCTACTCACCAACTGCTCCGGCCAAAGGAGTCATGGTTGATTCTGTCCCTCCCACCAATTTCTAATTCATCCACAGGCCCCACTGGCTTGTTTCTGAAGTGCATTCTGAATGCAACCATTTCTCCTCACCTTTGCCTTTACCCGTAGCAATGTAATGCAAGCCAGCAACCTCTTGCTTGGACTCTGCAGTAGCTTTCTGACTGGCCTCTCTGCTTTCATAGTTGCCTATCACCTCCCTCCTCCACCTAGTCTTGAATTTCACCAGAGTCAGAGCAATCTTTTAAAAATGTATATGAGAACATGTCATTGGATAGCTCAAAACTGTCCAATGAATTTCTGTTAGTATAGGGTAGAATCGAAGTCTGCTTTCTCCTCATGGACACTTTCTATACATGGTTTTTTTACATTGTAATCATTCAGGTCTCCGCTAAAATGCTATCATCTTGGAGACGCCTCCTGCCCATCCTTTCATAACTAACCTCCCTATTTGCACCCCATCACTCTCCATCCATTTACCCTGCTTGCATTTCTTCACAGAATGTGTTTTCAGAAACTGTTTTTAAAGTTTACTTGTTTATCTTCTTTCTCCCCTACCAACACAGGAGATCTTTAAAGCAGAGATTTTAGTCTGTGTGTTCTGCTTGGAATCCCCAGCATGCAAGGGCAGTGCTGACACACAGCGCGACATCAGAATATTTTTGTGATGAGTGAATATGAGGGCCAACCCAGAACTGGCCCACGGGTGGTGTTGGTCTTGAGGAGATGCGTGGTTAAGGAAAGTTTTAGAGCTACCCGCCTAAAAAAAAAAATTCACCACATTTTGGGGGCCGGAAAGAAAAGTAATGTTTAAGTTTTAGGGCATTCCTTCCCATGTGACTTACTAAAATGAATAGCTATGCAGTCTCTCAATCTCTGGTCTTTGTCATGTGTGGATGGTTTGAACTGCTGATCCAAATGAGTGTTTAATACTTTCTGAGTTGGGGGAAGAGAGTTTCATCTTGGTGAGACAATTTCTACCTTTTTTTTGTAACTTAAGCATTCTGTTTGTGCTTGTGGCCACCAGGGAGCACTGTTGAGCTGCTTAAATTTGTGGAGTTCAAGACAGCATATTTTCCAAATCTTACCCTACTGTAAAGAATTTGCGGTTTTAAAAAAAGTACAACAATTAGTTAAGATCTCATGAAAGGGTAAAATTAAAGCCCCCTTCTCTTTTATAGTAAAGGAACAAAGGGAAACTTACATGTTGACGTGAGTCACCTGGCTGCCCAAGATGTGACTGTATTTGAGTTAAATCGTGAACTTTTGAATTTTACCAGAAATGTTAGGCAAGGAATTTGGGTTGGGAAATGCATCTGCTAATTTCCCAGGAGAAAAATGAATGAATTTTCCCTCTCGGAGTCTCACATTAAACTAAATCTTACTGCTGGGAACCGGGTGAACACGGTCCCTTTAAATGCACTAGTGCTGACTTCCAAGGGGAGCTCTAGGAATGCTGAAGGGCAGAGGCAAGTGCTGCTGGGAGAACGGAAGAGGGTGCTTGTGAGAGGGGCTGGGAGATGGAAATCCATCCAGTAGCTTGTTTCTTTTTAAAAGTTTTTTTTTTATATTGATTGATTTTGATTTTCAGAAAGACAAAGGAAGAGGATAGGGAGGAGTTGTGGGGGAGGGGGGCAGAGAGAGAGAGAGAGACATCAATTTGTTGTTACACTTATTTATGCATTCATTGGTTGCTTCTTGTATGTGC